AATCCCAGGGTGATTTGGGTTGGAAGGGAACTTAAAGCTCATCCTGTTCCACTCCCTGACACCTTCAGGTGGAAGGGACACCTCCCACCATCCCAGGCTGCTCCAAGCCCTGTCCAGCCTGGCCTTGGGCACTGCCAGGGATCCAGGGGCAGCCCCAGCTGCTCTGGGCACCCTGTGCCAGGGCCTGCCCACCCTGCCAGGGAACAATTCCTGCTCAAGATCCCATCCAACTCTGCCATTCCCTGGGTCCTGTCCCTCCAGCCCTTGTCCCCAGTCCCTCTCCAGCTCTCCTGTCAGCTCCCTCAGGTACTGGAAGGCCACAATGAGGTTACCCCAAAGCTTCTCCAGGCTGAACAATCCCAGCTCTCCCAGCAGAGCTGCTCCATCCCTCTGATCATCCTGGTGCCTCCTCTGGATTTGCTCCACCAGGATGATGTTCTTTGTCCTCCAGAGCTGAACGCAGCACCCAAATTCTTACCAAAGACAGCTGCCACATTCCAGAAGAACTGGAAGCTCTCCCAGAACAAGCAGAGTCTGCAACCCAACACCCCCAAATCTAGACCCAAAAAAAGGAGCACTGTGACATCTCCAGAGAAGGGAGGAATGGCACATTCCAGAAGAGTTGCTGGGACAGGAGCAGCTCCTGAGGGCACTCACCAGTCGTCGCCCACGTTGAAGGCGTTGAGGCTCTTGGTGAAGCCCTGCATGTTGTTGGGGCTCACCCTCTGCAGGAAGTCAATGTAATCCTCGGAGTGGAAGCGGCACATGTCGTGCTGGGACGCCTGGTAGGGCTTGAACACCTTCCAGAGACAAAAGCAGGAGTTATTTCCCATCCAAACTCCACTTCCTCGGGCTGGAAGAAATCTTGAGGTAACTGACAAGTGGTTTGCACGAGGTACATAAATGTTCAAAGGCTGGTATTTGTGTTCATTTGAATTCAACAGCTGCTGCATGAAACCTGCTCTCCTTTCATAAATCCATCTCCTGCCTCTCATGACTGCAACTCTTGCCATAAAATGTCTTCCTACCCCATGGCACATTCCCCTGCTTGGGCAGCAAAATAAACCACAGCTTTTCCTTCACTGGGGGGAACATTCCTTCCTCAGTCACCAATTTCCCACAAGGCCCTGATCTAGGGGTGGTTCTGGTGCCTTTATAAGATTTACTGGCAGGTTCCAAATTATTTGGGGAAGCCTCCCAGAGAGATGGAAGAGTTGCATTAGTTTTGTTTCCCTTGGAAAGGAAAATGAGGGGGAATGGTCAGGCAGGTGCATGGACTCCAATCCAGGATCTCGTGGCAACACAGCTTTGCCAGTTTGGCACTTAGGGCACATACCTCAGCAGAGGGGAAGTTCAAAATTAACACCACTGGAAGAGGAAATTCCACTGATAAGAGATCTTTTCTGTGATTCCAAATTTCTCTAACTTAAAGCAACCACTCTACAGAAAAAGGTGAACGTGAACAGCTGGTCTCCAAAGGGAAACTCCTCAGGAGTTCCTGTCCTCATGTTCTTGTTTTCTGGGCTGAGCACGAAACCTTGTTCAGTTTCAGAGCCACAATAAACCAAAACAAGCCCATCTCCTCCTCTACTGGCATTTTGCAGGTGGATTTGTGGAATTTGGTGTTTCTCAGAGGCTGCTGCCTCTGACAACTCAAACAGGGGATGGGGAAACTCCCCGGAGCAGCTGCTGAGGGGGAAGGCAGGAGCTATCCCCAGGGATCCCCCAGGAATCCTGATGGTTCATTAAACCAAACCAGACCAGAACCGATGGCAAAGAGAGAAGAAACAGCTCTCACTGGACAGCCAGAGGCTCACAAAGAAGGGACGTGGGAATCAAACAGAAAAGGAGGGAAAAACCCAACTGAAATCTTCAGGCAGCTGCTGGCAGAACAAACCTGGCTGCTTCTACCCTTCCCAGCAATCCCACCCACGTTCCTGAGCTGGGAAAGGTGGGAAGAGACAAACCCAGCCCGACAGGATCACAGCCTTCTATTTTAAGGAGGCAGAAATAACGAAATCACAACGCAAGACCAGCAGGAGTGTTCACAGTCCCAACTGCTCCAAATCCCTGGTTTTATTTGCTCCTAACTTGGCCAGTCCCTGACTCCTCAGGGATGAAGATGTCCCTGAGGTTTTCAGCTTCCCAGTGGCAACTTGTGGAAAATATAACCCCCCCAAGAAAGGAATTTCAAGATTAAAAATGCAGAGCTCTGCCCACTGCCTCCTTCAGGCAGGGATTTGCCATTTAGAAGGGCTAGGTCAGAACATGTTTTCTGGTTGTTCCTGCAAGGAAAAGCCCAACTCCAGGGATGTAACTTGCGGAAATCCACACAGTGACAGTAAAAATCTGGAAGCAGAATTCTACAAAGATTCCCCACAGTCCCCCCAAGTGCTGCATTTCCACACAGCCACTGCACTGGATGTGCTTTGATTCGGGGATTCTATTAATTAAGGAAATTTTTCTCACGTTAAACACCTAAAATTCTTTCCATAAATTGCATCTCTACAGCTGCCTGACCTCAGCAGCTCCCTGAATCCTCTACAACTGCACCAAGAGCCCAGGACTGAGCTCTACAACCATTCCCTGGCACCCACCACCGCGGCCCCTCAGCCCAGCCCCGAGGGGCTCAGCTTTGGAACCCGCCACACTCCCCGAGCTCTCTGTGGCCTCCCCCGGTCCCCAACCGCCCGCCCCGGCTCGGGGACACGCGTGGCTTACGATCATTTTCTTGTAGAGGCCGTAGTGCAGCACCAGGCTGTGCGTGAGCGCCAGGCGGTGCGGCTTCATGGGGTGCCCCGCGCCTGGAACGGAACCGCGCGGGATTAACGGGGCTGGGGGGGCACAACGGCCGCGGCCGCCGCGCTCCGCAGCAGCTCCGAGCGCCGCCGGGGAGAGGAGGAGGAGGAGGAGCGGGAACGGGGAGGAAGAAGGGAACGGAGGGAGAGGTAGGGACGGGACGAGGGGGAGCACGGGTCGGACCACACCCCAGCCTTCACCACCGCCGGCCCCAGCCCCATGGCGGCCGCTCGGCCGCTCGGCCGCCCAGCCCCGGTGCTGCCGCGGTCCCGCCCGGTCCCGCTCGTACCGTAGTGGAAGTTCCCCACGTCCGGGTCGTAGAAATAGGCCACGGTCTTCGCCATGGCGGACAGGCCGCGCTCCCGCTTACGTCATCACACCGCGACACCGCCCGGGACTGGGGGCGTGGCCTCACCGGGGGCGTGGCCTACGGGACCATTACTCCGGCAGGGGGCGTGGCTTCTGCAGGGGGCGTGGCCACCGTCCCCGCGGTCCCAGTGTCCCCTCCCAGTGCCTTCGGGCTCGTCCCAGTCGCCACCAGCGGCCCACGGCTGCGCCCAGCCTCGCCCGGCTGCTCCCTGGTGCCCACACAGCGGCCCTCCATCACCCCAGCTGCCCCCGGTGACCCGCACTCACGTGGAGTTGTGCCGCAGTCTCAGCTGCCTGCCCTGTACCTGCCCCCGGATGCCGGCTGGACTCTCTCCCATCACCCTTGTGTCCTCTCCCCAGTCATCCTCAGCTCCCCCAGTTACCCCTCCCTGCCCCTCACCTGCTCCCAGTTACACCCAGCAGATCCCAGTTGCCCACTGGATTCTCTTCTGTAGGTCTGCAGCTGCCTCCCAGTCATTCCCAGTTACTTCCAGATGCCTGCTGGATTCTCTCACACAATTCTACACCTGCTCCCTCAGCTGCCACCAGTCACTCCTCCCTCCTCCTCACCTACTCCCAGGTGCTCCAGTTACTCCCAGCGAGCCCAGCTGGCCACTGGATTCTCTTTTCCAGGCCCCCAGCTGGCCCCCAGTTACTCCCACTTGTCTCCCAGTCACTCCCAGCCCCCCACGCCCAGGGCACAGGGGATGGGGCAGTGAGGTTTCAGTGGGACACCCACACCTTGATGGCATTCATTCCGTTCTGGGAGAGCCAGCTCCAATCCCTGAGGGATGGGGACCTGCCACCACCAGCTGTCACCTGTCCAGGTCCCACCCTGAGAAGGTGCAGGTCCTCCAGACCTTCGGAAAGGCCAGGCAGGAGGAGGACAAAAGCTGCCTGGAAAATTGCCGGGTGTGAGGAGGCAGCAGAATGGGGGAAAACCTGGAGCTGACAAGAGATGGAAACAGGACTGTGTTGTGAGCGGAGCTGGCTGGGAATGGCAGCAAAAACCCGCTCCCTGTGGGCTGGAGAGAAGGAAGGATGAACAGAGCAGGAAGCCTTGCCCAAAGGCTTGGAAAACCAAGCCAAAATCAATGCTTGGTGCTGCCAGTCTCCCGCAGACAGGAGTTTGGGATGAAGGAAGCTGTGCTGGAGACAGGCTGCTCATCCCAGCGGGGTCTCAGGGAGGGGCAGGACCCCCAGGAGCTGCCTGAGGATGGGCACCAGGGCAGATGGGCACCGGGATGTTCCCTGGCAGTGGATGCCAGGCTGGGATTTCCAGGAGATGGAAACCCTTTGGAAGCAGCAAGAGGAGCTTCCTGCCTGTATGGGATGGGGGGAATGGCAGGGAATTCTGGCTGCAGGTGGAAGAGACAAATGTCAAGGTGTGATTAAATCGTGGGGTTATTAAATGTTATTTCTGGCTGTCTCTGGCCCCCCTGAGGGGACACTGCCACCTCCACACCGCTCCTTGTGTGGGTTTCCCTTCAGGATCCCAGCTTCAGCCTGGAGCAAGGATTACAGGATGATTTAAGGGACAGGACATTTCATCCCAATCCCCTGCCAGGGGCAGGGACACTTCCAGAGGAGATCCAGGACCCTCTCACCATCACCCTGCAGGGCACAGCTGTGGCTGGGGACACTCAGAGAGGTCACCTGGCACCGAGCCCAGCACCCACCGTGGGAGATAAGCGGGATTTACACGTGCTCAACACCACGGCTCTACTGGGAACCCACGAAGCGCTGACGTCTTGGGCTGGGTGACGATTGTCCTGTCCCTTCTCCACCAGCTGCTGCCAGCAGATAACGCCTGGCTGGGGACATGGAGCCACCCAAACAGCACATCCCAGTGCCTGGCTGGGGGAACGGGGTGAGCAGAGGAGAAACACGTCCCTGCTTCCAGCTGGGATCACTTTGCTGCCTGAGCTGTCTTTCTGGAAGCCGGTTGCTGCTCCGGGCATATTCACGGGTGTTGGAGCAGAGCAAGGGAAGCATCGGAGAGGGATATTTTTAGATGCTCTTTGTGCTCAGAGAGCAAAACCAGGCTGTGGTGTAACGGCCATTAGCTGCTGGGCATGTTTGAAAAGCTGAGGATTCAGGGGCACGTTTGACATGATGGAATGGAGCAGCTTTGCAGACAGGACGGCAATTTTTGGGCTGAGCATTGAAGTGAAGATCCCAAGAGGAGCCTGGATCTGGGCAGCCCGGCCCGTTTAGCTGCCACACGGGGCCAGGCTGGCTGATCCCCCAAAAGGACGTGTTCACGTGTTTGTGGGGTGACATTTGCTCCAGTGGCTACGGAAGAGGTGCAGCAAAAAAGCGGACAAGAGGTAACGTGGAATTTATGGTCTCCTTTCCCAAAGGCACCTTCCCTCAATTCCTGTTCATTTTCTCTTCCACCCTGTTAATATCCCACGCCACACCAGCCTTCTCCACAGGGGAAATTGTCCCTGCCTGTGTCAGGGAGTGGGGCTGGATGATCCTTTAGGACCTCCTTCCAACCCAAGCCATTCCATGAGTCTGTGATCCCTAACTCCTCTCTTCTCCCCACGTGCACTGTTGCATCACCTCTGGTTATGAACCTTCCCTTTGAGGGTGGCAGAGCCATTTCTGCAGCTTTTCTCCTGCCCACCCAGGAGCTCTGAGCTCTCACTTGCTCATGGTGGAACCTTGGTGAGCCACTCAGGTACCCCCTGCCACTCCAGGGGAGGGTGAAAAATGTGCTCTGGCAGCACCCACTGTGTGCAATCCTTGGTGTGGATTGACAGCTCAAATGCTGGCTGTTTTGGGGCAGAGAGGAGCCAGGGTGTTGTTTATGGGTCACCTGTGAGGTGCTGTGTGGGACCATTAAATGCTAATGGGGTCCTGCAGCAGGACAAGGACTGAGCCCCTGGAGGGACACTGAAGCTGAGCAGGATGGAGACTGGGAGCAGGCAATGCCTGATTGGGGGAATTAGGAAGAGAAACATGATCAACCGAGATAATCCAGCTGCAGAGCCAGGAGGGAAAAGTTTGGCAGCAACAGAACCCCCTCCTCATCCTTGTTCACCCCACGAAGGCCAGGACTTGTCCTCAGGCAGGGCCAGGCTGCTGTGCCACCCTGTGTCCACAGCTTGTGGAAATGCCTCGACACCAGGGGCTGTGGGGAAATGGGAATCTCCCTTCAAAGTGGGGAGTCCTGATCATCCTGGCATGGCTGGAGTCGGGAAGGGGGTGGGATGCTGGAAGGGGGTGGGGAGCTGGAAGGGGGCAGGGTGCAGCAATGCGCTGGGTGGGCGGGAGCACCCAGGAGGAGAAAGAGCGATTTATTGTGCAGGACAGCGTGCGTGGGCACGAGGAAAATGGGAATACGCTCACCATGACTGCGTCCCCTCAGGGCCCTGCAGAAACCCAGACCTGCCAGTTCCCCCTCTGCACAGAAACAAGGGCAAGGAGCAAACTGCCTTTCAGGTTTACTTTGTGAGGTCCTCCTCAGCACCGTGATGTAGCAGCTTGTTTGCCCAGGGGTTTGGAGACCTCGCCTCTCCCATGGCCCAGCAATCCACGGCAGGAGGAAAAGTCTCATTCTTGCCACAGATATTCTATCCCAGGGCCTGTCTCGCTGTCAGGACAGTGGACAGATGGGTGTCACCTATGGTGACCTCCTGAAGTCACACTGATGGAGGAGGCTCCTGAGAGCCGACTTGGTCACCTGTGCAGAGGGGCAGGAGCTCTCAGCAAGGCAAGGCTGAGAGCCTGGAGGAGTCCCAGGTTGTGTCACAGACCGTGGTGGGATAATTCCCAGGGAGGAATGCGTGCATGGATCGGTGCTCGGCTCGGTGGAGATGGGCTGGGAGGGATTTCAAGGGTTTCGCTCCTCAGGGTTTGGATGGAGAACTGGCAGGTGGCTGAAGAGGAGCAGGTCTAATTTCCAGTAGCAAAGGAGTGGCGAGTGAAGCCTCCCAGGGTGAGGATAATGTGGTGGAGATGGAGAAGGAGGATGTGGGACCACCACAGCTTGAGATTTTAAGTAGTTTAGCCACTCCTTTTTTTAGGAAGGAGGGGGACACAGGAGTCTCCCGGGGCTCTTTTTCCACCATCTCCTGGTGCTGGGATCCCAGTGTGGGTGTCTGCACCCCTCTCCCCACCCCACACACGCTGGTGTGTGATCAGTCCTGATCTCACTGAGCCTCACTTCCACCCTTCTCCCTCCCGTCGCCAGGGCTCAGTGCCCTAAAAATCAAGGAAAGGAGGGTGCCAGGGGAGCTCGGGGCTGGCACGCGTGCGGGTGAGGTTATTCACCCCGGGGCGGGCGGCAGCTTCCCTGAGCAGCGCTCCTGCGTGTCCTGCTGCAGCCTCCGGCATCTCCCCGAGCTCCTCTCCGCACCTTCCTCCGCCGAAACAGCTCCGGAGAGGTTTTTTTTTTTTCTGGGATCGGGACAGGCGGGTGCTGTTGTGGCAGGGAGAGAGCAGCAGGCAGACGCAGCTGGCTCCTTCCCGGGGAAGGCAGGCAGGGAGCCGGGACCCGGAGGATGCTCGCCGCGGTCCCCAGCCGCGGGGATGCGGGGTTGCTAGGAGGCAGGTGAAGGTGAAGGTGAAGAGGAGAGCGCTGCGGAGGACCGCAGGCCCAGGTACCGCCGCAGCGGGGCCGGGGGACAGGCGGGGGGGACCTTGTCCGTGCCGGGAAGCGGAGCCGGCGAGTGGGAATGCGGGCGCTGAGCCCTTGGAAGGGAAGAAAGGAGCCGGGAGCGCACAGAGGAGCCGGGGCGGAGGGAGCCGGCTCGGTTCTGCGGGAGGACGATGCGGGAGCAGCCGGCGGCTCGGCCCTCCGCCAGCCCGGCTGCCGCGGCTCCCTGCCCGTGCCGCTGCCGGCGGAGGGCCTCGGCCGTGAGTACCGGGGGCTGCGGGAGGATGCTCGGCCATCCCCCGGCAAGGGCGAGCCGGGGGACGCCGCCCGCCGCAGAGCCCCGGGCAGGCCGGGGCAGCGGTGCCCTTGGGGAGCCGCCTGCGAGGGACGGGGGAGCGGCGCAGCCCGGGGCCGGCGGGCCTGCGGGGACGCTGCCGCCAGCGCTGCCCTTGGGATGCCTCTCGGCGGGGGCGTGCGGGGCAGCAGTGTCCTTGGGAGACCGCCAGGAGCCACCTCTCCCTTCTCCGTGCGGCCCCGCACCGCGGCGGAGCTTGCGGGGCGAGCCGAGCCCTGCGCAGCCACCCCCGGCCGGGAGCTGCCCCTTGCCCCGCAGCAGCAAGGGCGGGATGGGCACAGGGTGGGGGCGAGCGCCGGGGCTCTGACCTGCCTTCCCCCTCCTCGCAGATCCGCATGTCAGACCACAAGGACCCCAGCGATGGGGATCCAGATCCCCAGCACGGCATTACTGTGGTCTTCCTCCTTGTCCTTGTCTTCTTCATCATGGGGCTGGTGGGGTTCCTGATCTGCCACGTCCTGAAGAAGAAGGGTTATCGGTGCCGGACTTTCCGGGATGAGCTTGACCCAGATGACAAAGAAGGGGTGGAGGAGCTCGAGGATGGTGAGTGCTGGGGCGATGGGGGCTCGGTGGGGGCTCGACCATTTGCCTGGAGCGGGCTGGTGCTCCTCATACACCCTTCTGGGATGTGGGGTGGGGCTGGCAGGGTTACCTGTCACGTGTGGCTGGGTTGGGGCGCTGAGAGCAGCAGGGTGTTCCCTGGGGATCGGGAGTGTGAGGGCCAGGATCCCTGTGATCCACGAGCTGCCAACGGCTGCAGGTGACAGGGAGGTGGGAACCAGTGCCTGGCCCTTCCCAAAGGAGCATAATCACCAAAAGGTAATTCTGATAAACATCCAGGACTTGCTGAATTCTCAGTATCTCAATCATAATCCCTGTTCCCTCAAGGAAAACCTCTCCCAGCTGGAGCACAAGCTGTCCCTCTGCCCCTCTGGCATTAGGATGTCTGGCAGGGAGCCAGCTGGTGTTTGCTGTTGGTCATGCCTTCTTCTAGCCCCCGCTGTCTTCACACAAACCAGAGAAACAGGGGTGTTGCTAGAAGGGGAAGGGACCTGTAGGGAATTTTTTCCATGGCTTCAGGCCACGGCAAGTCGCTCTGGGGTGGTTGGATTGGGAAGTCAGTGCCGCATCGAGCGTGGGTGCCTGGCCCAAGCGAGCTCTGTCATCCGGCGCTTTCCTGAGTCTCTGCTGAAGTGGGGAACACACGCTCCTCCGGCTGCTTCCCAGGCTGGGAACAGCCACATGGTGCTACAGAACTCCCCCAGCTCCCGTGTGCCATCGGCAGTGCTGGGGAGGATCAGCACCTCCTGCTGCCGCTGCCTGTGCTCGGGAGGGAAACGCGGCTCCTGCGGCTCACCCACGGCTGCAGCCAGAGCTTCCAGGATGTCCATGGATGTGCTCCTCTGGCTTTAGCATCTTGGCTGTGACATGGAGACAGTGTCTGAACCTTCCAGGATGGGCTTTGCCCACAGCCAGGCCACACCACCCCACCACAGCCCGGGGAAACATCTCCGTGGGCTTCCAAGATGATGGAAGCAGCCCTTGAGCCTTTGAGGCAGCTACCAGCCAGACCACAGCTCCAACCTGCTCACAGGAACATGTCACACTGCTGATCCATCCATCCATCCATCCATCCATCCATCCATCCATCCATCCTGCCTCCAACAGTGGCTGGAAGCAGGTTGAGGTGAACATTGTGGATGAATTCCACAGCAGAGCAGGCACCAGCCAAGGTTCCTCAGAACAACCTTTTAAGCTTTTAATGGTGCGCAGCTCTGGGGCTCTCTGTATCATGGTGTGTTCCCCATTCCCGTGTTTAGCAGGTCCCTGTGGGTTTATTTGGGTTTGTTTTCTGTGGATATGTCCTGTTTACCCTTGGAGCCTTGAGCATGTGCAGCATCCTGCAGCTCCAAGGCTGGACAAGGACCCTCCTCCTTTGACTTTTTGGGACCTGCTTCCCGCTCATTTCAGCGGATGCTCCCCTGTTGGGAAGGAGCGACACAACGCCCTCTCCCTGCACACGCAGCTGCTGGCTCAGCGGTTTCTTTTCCAGGAGGAGGGATCTGGTATTCCCCAGTGGCTTCCCAGTGTGACAGGGGACATGAGGCTTCTCCAACATCTCTGCTGATGCAGCTGCTCCAGGGAAGGGATGAGTGAGCCAGCCCGAATGCCAGCCCTCAGTGCCACGTTGTCTCTTTGCAGATGAGGACAAGAACGATGACACCGTGGAGAAGATCGTGAGATGCATCATCCAAAACGAAGGTGAGCACTTCCATGGGCCGGCCCAGAGCTCTGCTGAGCACTTTCGCTGACGTATTCCCGTTTTTTCCTCTGTCTTCAGCAAATGTGGAGGCCCTCAAGGAGATGTTGGGGGAAAATGAAGGGGACGTGCCAGTGCCAGTGCCCAGGTGAGGGAAGCTCACAGCAACTTGTGGCTGGGAGGGAGGGAGGGACAAGCAGCCCCTTTCCAGCTGCTTCAAAGCATCTTCCCAACGGAGAGTGCTGCTCTCCTGAGGGTTTTGAGGAGTGTCAAGTGGAACAGCTCTTCCTCATTCCTGTCCCCAGCAGAGGTCCCCCCCCAGAGCTGCTGCTCCCAGAGCTTGCTGCAGTGGGGCTGCACCAGGGCTGGGGTGTCTCCCCGAGGTGACACGACCTGTCATGTCCTTCTGTTGCAGCCTGTGTCCCCACAGTAGCAGCCAGGACGGGGGCCCACCACATCACCACACGGTGCACCTGGGCTCCACGCAGGCCCCCTGCATCCACTGCAGCAGGAGGAAGAGGCACCCGCTGCAGCGCCAGGGCCGGTCCAAGGAGGGCAAAAGCAGGATGCATCCTGGAGAGACCACCGTCTTCTCAGTGGGCAGGTACCCAAATGAGCTCTGCCAGACATTTCCCTGCTGGAATGAGCACCGTGAGCTCTCCTCAGTCCTCCTGCTCCTTTCCCACTTGCCCAGAGTTCTGCATTGAGATGCCCCAGCAGCAGCAGCAGCTCTGCAGCTGGAGCTCCTGAGGACCCAGGTGGTTCCTGCACCTGGAAATGCCTGTGGTACGTGGCAGGCTGTGATGCACTGGTGGCTTCCCTCCTTCTCCGGGAAGGTGACTCAAGCTGGGTTTTCCTGCTGAGTCAGTGCTGAGCACAGCCCCAGCCCCGTGTCCTTTCGGAGCCCGCTGTCCCAGCCCGGTGCAGGCAGGGCCCTTGCTGCCCAACTGGGGGCTTCAGGGACCTCGTTAAGGGGGGCAGAGGGGACAGCATGTCCCAGGTGTGAGCCACCACGTACTCAGAAGGAAAGAGTGGCTGTGCTGCTCCAGGTCGCTGCCTCCAGCGATGTCTGTAATTAGATGACACAGCAGCAATGTAAGAACACGGGAGTGTTCCTGATACTTCCCACAAATGCTTTCCAGTCCCCACCTGGTTTCACCTCAAGGGACTTCCTGAGCTTCCTGTGGTCTCTGTGTAGTCACTAACCTGTGGATCAGTCCGTAGGCTCGCCCAGGCTGCCCCATTCCCCAGCAGAGAGGGTTAGGAAAGTCTTCCTGGGCTTGGCTCCCTCCGCCTGTGGTGACTGGGGCAAGGTGACAAAGTGACTGCTGGTTCCTGGATGGCCACCGTGGTGAGACACAAAGTTCTGTCATGCTCAAATTGTGCACAAGGTCTTCATTCAGGTCCTGAGCCTTGACCAAACTTCAGGTCGTGGTCCAGAGAGTCAGTCCTTTCATGGGAATGCTGAGCCAGAGTGGGCATGGAATTGTGGAATGGTTTGGGTTGGAAAGGACCTCGAAGTTCATTCCAGTGCCACCCCCTGCCATGGCAGGGACACCTCCCACCATCCCAGGCTACTCCAAGCCCTGTCCAGCCTGGCCTTGGGCACTGCCAGGGATCCAGGGGCAGCCCCAGCTGCTCTGGGCACCCTGTGCCAGGGCCTGCCCACCCTGCCAGGGAACAATTCCTGCCCAATATCCCATCCAGCCCTGCCCTCTGGCAGTGGGAAGCCATTCCCTGTGTCCTATCACATGGATTATTCCACCATCACGGGCAGGACCCTCAGCAGGGAGGTGAGCTGGGGGTTTCTGAGGAGCTGGAGAAGCAGTGAGACCTGCTGGACCTCTCCAGGCCGAACTGCAGCTCGGATCACGTCTTGTGGACACTGCCAGCTCCTGGCTCCCTCCGTCCTGTAGCTGTCCTTGGAGGCGGTGCCCAGCTCTGCACAGTTCCGTACTCACCGCTAATTCATTCCCTGGCTGGTGCCCAGCTCCATCCACTCCTCCATGTCCTTTGTCCGTGCTCTTCCCAGACTCACTCACCTTGGAGTGCTGGACAAGATGGTCTCCTTTCCCAAAGGCACCTTCCCTCAATTCCTGTTCATTTTCTCTTCCACCCTGTTAATATCCCACGCCACACCAGCCTTCTCCACAGGGGAAATTGTCCCTGCCTGTGTCAGGGAGTGGGGCTGGATGATCCTTTAGGACCTCCTTCCAACCCAAGCCATTCCATGAGTCTGTGATCCCTAACTCCTCTCTTCTCCCCACGTGCACTGTTGCATCACCTCTGGTTATGAACCTTCCCTTTGAGGGTGGCAGAGCCATTTCTGCAGCTTTTCTCCTGCCCACCCAGGAGCTCTGAGCTCTCACTTGCTCATGGTGGAACCTTGGTGAGCCACTCAGGTACCCCCTGCCACTCCAGGGGAGGGTGAAAAATGTGCTCTGGCAGATTTTTGCCAAACAACTCCTTCAGCCTTTGATCCCTGTATCCAAACCACTGCCAAAACCCCGTCCCTGCCCTCACTCAGGGCACGCTCTCATCCAGGTTGTCTCGGAGCATTTCCAGGAGCTGTGATCCATCTTGCTGCTGGGAGGGCAAGATCTGGATTGAGATTTCCATCCTTCTCTTTCTGTTTGTTTTGCTCAAAATGAAGGGAAAAATGACTTTGGGGGGCACGGCTTGCGTGGGTGTGAACGAGTCGGAAAGGTTGGAGATCACGGCAAATAGTGATCCAGAGCTGGAGGTACGGGCAAGCTGGGAATCCAGCCATGAGGACAGCATGGAAAAGACTGCTGTGTCCTGCCCTCTTTGCAGGTTCCGTGTCACACACATCGGGAAGAGACCGCCGGTCCAGGAGCAGCAGGACGGCACGCTGCCCGCCGGCAGCCGGCAGCCGAGCACAGAGGAGCTGGAGCGCAGCAGCGAGAGGCTGCAGTGGGAACGGGCTCTCAACGGGACTGTCCCCACGGGTGCCCTGCAGAACGGAGCCATCCAGACGGGCACCCAGAGCGCGGGCAGAAGCGCGGAGCAAAGCCTGTCCGCCAGCCCAGCCGCGAACACACCAGCCAGCTCCGGCACCCGTGACAGCCGGCGGGCGGACGTGGGCTCCGGCCCGCTGGGCTCCGGCCCGCTGGGGTCTGGCAGAGCCGGGTCCAGCCTGGTGGGGCCTGGCACGGCGGGGTCCCTGAAGGATGCTGGCTCTGCTCCCGGGAGCTCGAGCCGCCAGCGGAGGCTCATGAGCATGCCGGCGCTGGGAGTGTCGAGTCCCAACATCCCAGGAGAGCTGGCAAGGGAAGGAGCCGGCATCTGCCTGGAGGAGATCGGACTGGCGTCGGCAGATGAAGTGTCGGATATTCACGGGAGCCTGAGCCTGCAGGAACAGGCCGATGAGTTGGGGAGAGACGACAGCAGCAGGAGACAGTCAGGAGGGGAGGACGGGAAGCAGCAGGTATGTTCCTCCTCTTCCGTGTGGTCCCCTGGACTGGAGGGGGATTGCTTTTTTCCCACCCATTTTCCGATGTCTGAGGCAGTGGAGTGACTGTGACGGGTCCCGCCCTGCTTCGGGGGCAGTGGGAGGTGCTGCAGACCTGCTGCTGGCTCCCCTTGAGGAAAGGACTCCTTCCCTTTGTGCTTGAGCTCTTTGGGGACATCCATTGGGATTTTGACCTGGGAGAGCTCCAGTGCTGCACGTGGTGTCCCCAAAATCGTGGCCTCAATGGGGTCCAGTGTGGCCAGTAAGGAACAGGCAGGGACAGATTTCTCCAGGAGCCTTTCTTACCTTGGAGGCCAGGAAATGGTGAAGCCAAGTGCTCATTTCTTGGCTGTTTTTCCCTGCTCCTGAGGAGCTGTGCTCAGAGAGGAGGAAAGCCCACCCTGCCTGGAGCTCTCAGCACCCTGGTGTACCCCAATATCCCACCCAACCACCTTGCTGGAGGGGTTAGAAAGCTCCAGGGGATTTTTTCCCTGGAATTGCCTCTGTGCTGTTACCAGTGAGCAAATGAGGCTGGTGTGGTGGTTCAGACAGCCAGCATTTCACTCACAGCCTCACGCACTCATTCATGGCTCTGCAACCAGCAAAAGGTGATTGTTGCGGAAGGGGGCTGGGAAACACCCCCTGTGTAATGTCAGCAGCTCCAGGAGCCGGCTTTAACTTGCCTCACAAAACCAGCACCAGGGCACATGTTGGCAAAGCCCTTGGAAGAAAAAGGAAGCCAAATGCCTGGGTAAAATTCCTGGCACGCTTCAAAGCCATGGAGATCCCCTGGGGCTGGTTCTGCAGGAGCTGCACGGGCTGGGCACGGCCCAAGCACATGCCAGCAGCCCTTGGCAGGGGGTGGGATGGGGCAGGCCTGGGAAAAGTGCCTGGCTGGATGCTGGGTAAGGACAAAGCAGGATCCCACTGTTTCCCTCTTTGCTTTCTGGTGACCAGGCTGGCAGGTTTGAGCTGTTTCATGGAGAAGGGCAGCCCATGGCAGGATAGAAAAAAGGGCTGCAGCCCTTCCCCAGAGACCTGGGGAGGTGGTGACAGGTCCCACTGAACCTTGGGTGATCCCTCTGATCCCTGGGGAAGCATCCAGGCACATGGTGATGTCTGTCCCCTCGGTGGTGCCTGGATGCTGCACGTGGTGCTGGCATGCTCCAGGACATGGAGTCCCCGGGAGAATGGTGATGGCACCTCCCTGGGATATTTGTCACCAAGCCCTGGTGCCACTTGAACCCTCCCCATCCCCTCAGTCACAGTCAGAGCCAGCACGAGGGCTGTTGGCTGCTGCTCACCACGTCCTGCAGGTGATGGGGAAGGGCAGAGATGGTGCCTGGGCTGTCACCGCTCCTGCAGAGTCAGTGGGGTTCTGCCCACTGGCCCTTGGGTCACTGCTGTGGTGGGGGGGACCCCTGGGCCAGCACCCCGCTCCCACGGGAGTGCTGACATCCCTCCTCCATCCCACAGGAGCCCAGCGCCGAGGAGCAGGACCGTGTGTGACGTGAGTGCTTGTCCCCTGCCTTGGGACAATGGCTGGGGTGGGGGTGGGAGGGCACTGTCCCTGCCCCTGGTGGGTCTCAGCTTGGTGCTGGACATGGAGAGAATATCTCCATTTCTCCAGGGGGTCGGGAAGTGCCAGCCACAGGCGGTGACTCCGGGAAATCCCGTTTGCGGGTGGTGGGGAGGTGCCACGGCTGTGGGGACAAGCCCTGTCGTGCCCCTCTCCCCTCAGCTCCTCTCCGCTCCCGGCTGGAGCGTGGACGGGAGGCGTGCAGCCCCTGGACCCCTCGGGGCCGGGGGCTCTGCCGTGGGGCAGCCGCGGGGCAGCCGGCCCCGGGTGGGCATCTACGCGCTTGGCATGGCCGGAGCGACGCGCCGGCGTCACCGACAACCGCGCTCGGCGCCAGCCTTCATCCCATTGGCAATAGGTACCCGAGTCCCTCCGCACCCTCCCCGGAGACCCCCCCCGAGGGACCCTCGGGCCTGGCAGGGGCAGGACAGCACCCCGAGCCCGCTGCCCCCGCGGCCCCCCAGCTCCGGGGGAAGGATCAGAGGGGGCCGCGGTGAGGGGCAGGGATGGAGGCAGCGGCTTGAGCCCCCCCCGGGGCGGTGGGGAGCACCCACCCACCGCAGGCACCCGGCACGTTGACCACAGAGCACAGCCCCCCGCCCCCGGGCACGCAGAGCGGGCACAGGCACAAACCCTGCACCGGCAGGTCCCTGGGAGATGCTGGCGGAGAGAGGAGCTTCCAGCCCCATCCCGGCACAGGAGGGGCCGGAGCCCGGCCCTGGGGGCACGATGGCCCGCGGCCAGGCCAGCGGGCAGCGCCGGGGCCCGCGCCAGCTTCGGTGTGTAACGCCCTGTACATAGACGAGCTACAACCATTAAA